TCAATGATGACGAGCATCTCACCAGATCATCCCTATGCCTCCACTTCTCGCTTTTAAACAACTGCCAAACCTTAAACAGACCATCGCTTGCAGCAAACTACCCAGCCTTCAGGACAACATCGACCACAACGCTATACATCCCTGAAATAGCACCCTCTGAAAGACGTGTCAGATCATCGACATTATACATGGGAACACCACCCACCACGTACACAGCAGATGCTCATGTGACTCGGCCAATGTTGTCTATCTCATAGACTGCAGGCAAGGATGCCCCAAGGCATGGTATATTGGAGAGACCATGCAAATGCTACAATAACAGATGAATGGACACTGCACAACAGACAGGAATGTTCCCTCCCAGTCGGGGAACACTTCAGCGTCAAGGACATTCAGCTTTCGATCTTCGGATAAGCGTCCTCCAAGGTGGCCTTTGGGATACACAACAATGCAGAATCACCAAGCAGAAACTGATAGCCAAGTTCCAGGCTGATGAAGACGGCCTTAACCATGATCTTGGGTTCATGTCGTGCTACATGTGACCCCACCACACTTCTGTATCTGTAAAACCTTCCTTACCGTCCTGTTTTGTCACCATCACCTGGATAAATTGTTATTTTCTCTCTACCTTAATTGGTTTTTACGGTTTGAATGGCTTATTACTTTGGTTAGACTCTCGACTTGCAACTCTTATACCACCATGTTATTCCAGTCATTTGGTTTGTCTCCAGCACCACCTTATATTAATTTTTTTGTAATTATCTCTCTGCCACATTTAGTCAGATGCTACAATCATCCCTTCATTTGTTATTCAGCTGTTGACACTTTACTCACACCGTCTGACACTTTGGATCACTTGCAGAGATTTATTATTCAACACTCCACTCACACCATTTGTATGACCTTTTGATCTCTCTGCCCTGGATCCTTCTGCCCATAAATTCTGTGTTCTGTGTGCTTCTCTCTCACTTCACCTGACGAAGGGACTATGCTCCGAAAGCTTGTGATTTCAAATAAACTTGTTTGACTATAAGCTGGTGCCATGTGACTTCTGACTTTGTCTACCCCAATCCAACACTGGCACCTCCACATCATTTTCTCAACAGAGGTCTGGGCCTACTGTATACTTCCAGCTTTTTCTGTCTTTATTTAACATTTTCTAAGTCTGTTTCTGCACTCAGCAGGACTAACTCTCTTGAGTTGCTCCTTGTTTCTGCTGTCTCTGGCTATTCATTGCTATTATGCCAATATCCAAGCACAGGTAAATTCCCTGCAATCAATGGTCATTTATTGAAAGTGCTAAGTATATTGATGTCTACATTTCACCTGCGTGCTTGCTCGAATGATTTACCTTCACTGGCACAATTGGGATGAAAAGAAGACAACTAATTTATTATTCTAACATATAATAAAAGTCAAGTTCACCTGAAACTGAGCTTATAGTTTAAGCCTTACAAGTCTGATACAATTTTGATGAATCTGCACTGTCACACATCCTGTATGATGTGCAGTGCAAAAACTAAATGCTTCACTCTAACTGGAGACTTTGTGTATAGAAGATCTACAAAAGGCAAGTTGAAAACTCTTGTCAGGAAGCACTTCTTCACTAATGAATGACTGATACCTGGAAAACATTTTCTGAATAAGGTAAGGGTAATAGAAATAAGATAAAGTCGCTGAAATCATTACTGCTGAGCATCATTTTCCAATCCTCTCTGACTATAGGCTAGAGCACAGTTAAAGTCACACTGTTGTTTCTAAATGGGAGGAAAGGTTAGGCCAAGTAGTTACAGACCAGTCAGCCTAACTTCCAGTGATGAGTGAATTTTTGGAAAAAATTCTGAGATGCAACATAAATTGTCATAAAGAGGGCCTAAATTAATCAAAAACAGTCAGCATGGATTGTGAATGGAAGGTCATACCCTAAGTTGACTAAATATATCCGGGGAAGCATCACGAAGAGGGAATAACGATAGCATGTTTGATGTTGTTAGCACTAAATTGAGCAAGGCTTTTGGCAAATTCCAAACAGACTGATCAATAAATCACAAACTCATGGGATTCAAATTGGCTCAGGCAGAAGTATAGGGTAATAATCGATGGATGTTTTTGTGAATGGAAGGCTGTTTCCAGTGGGGTTCTTGTAGGCCTCAATACTGAGCATCTTGCTATTTCTCAAATGAATCAATGATTTAGACTTAAATAGAGTGTCAAGAGGAGGAAGTATGCTTATATATGAGAGTTAACCATCTGGTTGAAAGCAAGGAAGAAAGTTGTAGACCGTAAGAAGATATGAATCAGTTGGGCAGAATAGTGTCAACTGGAATTCACCTGACAGGCAGTCCCTGGGTTGCAAATGGTCTGAAGTCCATTTGCAAGTTAATTTGTATGCAAGTTGGAACATGTAACAAGACAAAACAAAGTAGCCATTTGTAAGTACAGGAAATGTTTGTATGTTGGCTCTTTTAAAATGACATCCCTGTGTGAGATCACATTCTTAAATACAATCATTGGTAAGCTTTGGTAAGCTCTGTAAATCAGGAGCCACCTGTAATGTATTTGGGCAAATAAGGCAAAGTGTGGAGGGACAGTGTGGCTATGGAGTGCATGTTTACAGATCACTCAAGGTAGCAGAACAGGTAGAAAAGTTTGTCAAGAAGATGTACAGATACCTTCCCGCTTTGACTGAGGCCTACAGTACAAGAGCAGGGAGGTTATACTAGAGCTAGAGAACCAGAAGAATAGATTGCAGCTGGAGTACTGCATTACATGAAGGATGTGATCAAAGAATCTAGAAGAAATTTTCAAGGATGTTGCAAGGACAATGGAAAATTTTAACTCTGGAGAAAGATTGGACAGGTTACATAGGAGCAGAGGTGACTAAGAGGTATTTTTATTGAGATGTATAAAGTTGACGGGTTTAGACTGAATAGGAAGTCCCTATTTCTATTAACAAAGAGATTGATAGCCACAAGAAGTTGGAATAATGAATTGCTTGGCAGCACAGAACTACAACATTGTTAAAAGGGGATGAGAAGATGAAGCTTTTCATTTTGACACTCTGCAGAACTAGAACTAGAACACAAGAGACAGGATTGAAAAAAGGGATATCATTTTATCCTGCATGAGAAAAGGGTACTGAAACCGTCGACAATGCAACAAGAACAGTTAACTGTCAATCTGCTGTAGCTCAACCTAAACATTGTCGCACTTTTCCATCCGCCTAACAACACCCCCAACAATCAAGTTTATTCAAAAGGAATTAGAAATTATGGCAATTTAGAAGTGAACCATCATGTGCACTACACTGTTAAACCATTGCTAGCTGACTGCTGGTTAAGTGCTAGGGAAGAACCTAGATGTTTTGTTTTCAAGAAATAACAAAACCTGCTCAATAGGGGCTCTGTAACTTAACAAAACCATGGGGGAGAAATTGGTCGGCGGGGTGCGAATTGACTAAATAAAAATAGTATTGGAGGGGGAAGAGGATACAATCCAGCATGAAAGACTTCGTGGGTGCTGCTGGACACTGCACATTCCCTCTCCAAGGATGCCTGGGTGTGGACATAACCACAAAAGACAGGCAGAAAGTCTGGAATCATGAATCGTCCATAGTCCACAGCATAGACCCATGAATGGCCAGGCCCAGGAGTAGGGTGAGAACGCAGCTTCTTTTTTAAATTTGTAAATAATCCCACACAGCAAATTTACAAATCACTCAATTAATAAATAACACATATTATCTACTGGGGCAGTGTGCAAAAATCAAAACACAAATAGAGGGAAGAAACAAGAGTGGGAGGCAGGGAGTTAAAAAGATGTTGGTGAGGGAGATAATACACCCCAGCTCCTGCAATTCCAACATGTTCCTAAATGCTTTGAGGTTACCAATGGATGCTGCTGTGTCTCTCCCCAACGACACCAAGGCACAGATTTAACTGCTGAACTCAGCTCTATTTTTATTTTATTTTAAGAAGGTTAGAGGGATAAGGGCCAAACACAGGCAAATGGGACTAGGTGAGTTTAGGAAACCTGGTCAGCAATGGAAAAGTTCGGCCGAAGGGCCTATTTCCACTCTGTATGACTTTATAACTCACCACCAAATTAACAGGTTACCTAATGATAAGCATATGACAATAGAAAAAGAAAGAGGTCAGGGGAAACCAAGGACGCAACAAGATCAAAATGGTCTTTGTAGGGGAAATAACGTCCCAAACTCCCTGGAGGCCACCTTTCGCTGAAAACTTTGAGGCTACCAGTGGACACTGCAAACTCCCTCTCCAAGGACACCCAGGCATGGATGTATCAGCAGTAAAATATCAATATAAAGTCCAATAAGCTTCGGTGTGCTCTCAATCAACCCTGGAGCCATTCTGGTTGAGCCTTAAATGGACCTGTCATCTAACACTGACATGGGAGCTGGGTACCTCCTGCAGTTATATCTGTGCCCAGGTTAACATCCTCAAAATGGCAATTTTTTCACAGATTCTCTGGCCATCATCATATTGCTGTTTGTGGGTCATCATATTTGCTATGTTGCAACTTTCTTCAAAAGTACATAATTAGCAGCAAATTAAATTTTGGCATGAAGGAAATCAAAGGATTTGGCAAGTGGCTGGGTTGGTAGCTGAGTGGTCACACTGTTATTAAAGGGGCTCTTGTGGTGCAGTGGTAGTGTCCCTACCTCTGAGCCAAGACACCTGAGTTCCACTCCCACCTGCTCCAGAGGTGTGTAACAATATCCCTGAACAGGTCGATTAGAAAATATCTTGAATGGGGGAGCAGGCTCAGGCAGCCCTATAGCGTACACTTGCTATTTCTCAAGCATTCTGGAATATCCTGAGGTCATGATAGGTGTCATTTAATTCAGGTTCTTTCTTTTCTCAACCTGCTACCAATTTCATAGCCTGTAGACAGTAGCACATCAAGGAGGGCCTGCACATTACGGGTTGAAGGCGTTACAAAGCTTACCCAACGCTATGTAGAGTCGGTTCACTTGCAGCTGAACCAGTTGCAGACACTTGGCTCTGAGTTGCAGTTTTAAAGTCTGGAAGGTGACTCTTCTTAACAAAAGGTTGTGGGTGGACACCACTCAAGGTCAACCTTCTCGGCCTGTCGCCCAGCTGCCTGACTGTGAATTTGTTCTTCCATGTAGCTCTAGGTGTGAATGGGCTCCTGTCCCCCGGCACGATGTTTTGTGGTTGAGCTGCTGCATTCACTCTGCCCACAGGTGGTGAAGGGGCCTGGGATTCAAAGATGGATTTGGAGAGCGGGCAGAAGATGGATGAGGCATTGGATCCCGGTTTCTCGGTGCGGTCAAGGGGTGTTTTCTCAAGCGGAGGGGCGCTATTGACTGCTGCCGGAGGACTGGGCAGTTGGCGATGGGCCAGGGAGTTGGGAAATTGGCGATGGACCGGCGGGCTGGGCAATTGGCGATGGACTGGTGGGCTGGGCAGTTGGCGATGGACCGGTGGGCTGGGCAGTTGGCGACGGGTCAGGGGGCTGGGTGGTTGACGATGGACCGGGGAGCTGGGCAATTGGCGATGGGTCGGGGGGCTGGGTGGTTGATGATGTACCGGGGGGCTCGGGGGGCTGGGTGGTTGACGATGGACCGGGTGGCTGGGCACTTGGTGATGGGCTTGACGGCTGGGCAGTTGGCGATGGGTCAGGGGGCTCCGTGGTTGACGATGGGCCTGGGGATTGGGTGGTTGATGGTCTGTTGCAAGATTGGACAGTTGGTGGTCGGTCGCGAGGCTGGGTGGTTGAGGGTCTGTCGCGAGGCTGGACAGTTGATGGTCTGTCGCCAGGCTGGACGGTTGAGGGTCTGTCGCGAGGCTGGACAGTTGATGGTCTGTCGTGAGGCTGGACAGTTGATGGTCTGTCGCGAGGTTGGACGGTTGATGGTCTGTCGCGAGGTTGGACGGTTTAACCGGAACAGAAGGGGGCCTTGAACTCCTGAGGCTAACTGAGGAGCTCGGTTCGTCTGGAGAGGCTGGTAGGTTCGGTTGTTCAGAGCCCCATTTCGTGTTTGGCCATCTCTTTCTGGAGACAGAGGGCGCGGTGTAACCCACTGGAATGTAGAGGTTTCGAGATGGCAGGGTGGGACTGGGGAAGGCCTTTCTCGAGGTGGGAGGTGAAGGATTGGGAGCTGGGCCTCCCGTTGCGCCTCGGCAGAATGGGGGGGAGGACAATCCTCCCCGCCCGAAGTGTGGGGAGAGTGTGGATGGAGCCACTGCTTCGTCGAGGGATGAAGTGGCCTTGGGCGGGGGGCCTGGTCTGCTGGGCTCGGGAGGGCACTCGGGGGTCGCTCCATTTTCCTGGGGGCTACAGGAGGCCCCGCCGTAGCGGAGGTTAATGATTTTGTATTGCAGCCAGGGTTGGTCACCGGCTGTCATGGCTCCAGGCTGCAGCTTGCGAGAGCTGCTGGTGATGGATCCTCTCCAACTGGCTCCTCCTGGGGCCAGTTTACTCATCACCCGCCCGGCTACCCGGCTGCCTGTTTCCAGGTCGGGAGTGAAGCCCCCCTGGGGAAGGAGAGGGGCATCCCTGGTTGTCAGGCCGGCACTTCCCTGGCTGAAGGTGGTGATCAGTCCTTGCACTCCTGTCCGTTGCAGGCGAGTGGCAATAGGACAGGGTGGCGCCCGCTTTATTTTGGCAGGGGCCTGGGCCTCAGTCTGGACTGGGGCCTTGAACTGGGTCTGGGACTCCTGTGTCTGATCCTGGGCTTGGTGCTCAGACTGGATCTGGGTATGGTTCTGGACTTGGGCCTGGATATGGTTCTTTCCTCGCACTGGACCCTGGTTCTGGCTCTGGGTCTGGGTCTGCTGTGCCTGGGTTTGGGTCTCAGTTTGGTTTTGCGCCTGGGTCTGGTAGCACGACCCAGGTGGAATTTTCCTGAGACTCATCTTCTCCTGACTGGGCAGGATACTAAAGTTGCTGTGGAGGGAGGCTTTCAGCTTGTTTCTAGGCGCTGCCTGACCTGTGCCAGGCAGACTGGTTGGCAGCTTTGGCATTCCTGGTGTCTTCCTCTGTTCAAAGCCACCCTTGTTGTTTGCACCTTTGGGCTGCAGCATCTTCTCCAGCCTCCTGCTCAGATCCTTTTGAGTTCTCTGAAGCTCCAGCAGCGTCGGATCCTCTGCCTTGCTTTTTAGTGACTCTGCGGACTTTGATCGCCGCTTTTTGACGACACGAATTTTGCAGCCCTTGGCAGTACTTGGTCTGACTGGGAGCAATTTGCTCTCTTCGTCTGACCAAGCATTCGACCCCGAGTTGATTGGGACAAACTGGATTTTGTCACTAATGGCATCTTTCATCTTAAAGGTCATTTCTTCGTTCTCAGGGATGTTGATCCTTTTTGGAATAGGCCGCACAGCTTCACTTTCTGGAGGGGATGATCTGGGCTGCTGAGGTGTCCCATCAACAATTATGTCTAAACTGCGTTCCTCATTGTCCTCTTCACCCAGGGAGCAGAAATCCATTGACTCTGTTCGAATAAGTGTCTCGCAGTCCGTGCTTGTTACTGACTCAAAAGAACTGAATGATCTGTTCTGGATATGTGCATGTTGAGATGTACGGATTGATACAGAGGATGTATCATGAGGCGAGTAAAAGTTGCCTTTTAATTGATGATCGACAGTATTGTCATACGATTTTGAAGTACAGCTTGCTATGTGAGAAAGGCTTGCTTGTCTATGTGAAGGGTGCGAATGAGAATCTCTGCTTAAGAGATATGCATTGGACTCTGAACTTGTACGCCTTCCACCTTTCTCAGGGTTCCAGTATTCTTTCATGGAATCGGTATCTCCTCCAATGCCACTGTCCTCTGAATGAAGGGCCGTGTCTCTGTGTTTGCTCTGAGGTTGTTGCCGTGCGCAGGCCTCCAATTGAGCTATCATTCTTTGCAACCGCTTGTCTACTTCCTGTTTCACTGTGAGCCTGTTATGGAAAGTGTCCGTGGCAGAATGCAGGTATCTGCATGCTTCTTGCAGGGCTGAGGCCGTCAAGGAGGTTACTGTCCCATTGGTTTCCTGCATCTTGTTGACAGTGTACAACAGCAGTTGTTGCAGGAGATCGGGCTGTTCTTGTGGGGCTGCTATCCCAGCAGGCCATGCAAGCTGAGTTCCAACATCTTTCACTAGCCTTTCACCTTCACCAGCTATTTCCTCTAGGATGCAGTTTACCTCCTCAAAGCGCAGTGTTAGAAAGCTCACCATCTGCTGGAGAATTAGTTGAGTGTGTGCGGCCTGCTCAATTAAACTCAAAACTGCATCGTACTTGGAAAGGCAGGGGTTAAGGTAAGCGTATGCGGCTTGGTGGGCATTAACCAGGGAGGTGGGAAAATCTACTTTCTCTTTGTCCGCTGATTGAGAAAGACTCTTTTCCCTCCACTTGGTGCTCTTGACCTGCTTGGGGCTCTGGTGGCCTTTTTGTTTCCTGCTTCTCTTGGGTTGCTGAGCCAAGTCGCTGACGCTGTGTGCATGCTGTTTCTGTTCAGCAAATTCCCGAGGTACATACTTCTGCGAAACTATAACCTCTGACACTGCCACCTTGGTACCGGCTGCCAATTTTTCTCTCTTTGTTTCCTCATTGTAAAGTTTGGGTGTTCGAGCAGGCACTGCTGACCCAGGCAGGTTCTGGCAATGGCTCCTTTCCATGTGGTGCTGGTCCTCTTTATCTCTCAGCTGGATGGCATTCTCCTGATCATTCTCAGAGGATTCACTGTCGGAGTTGCCTGACCCTCCGCTGACTGAGTGGTTTCGGCTCTCAGTGTGTGTCCTGTCTGCTGACCCTTGGGCCGTGGATTTCTTTAGAGGTCTCAAGGTGTTTTTTGCGAGGTGTTGGATTATTTCACTGTGAGACGGTGCACACCCCATCGCTGCTTGCAAAGCGACAACCTCAAACTGATCGGTGCAGAGAAAGGTCAGCACTATCAAACTGCTCCTCCTGTCACCTCCAGATGCTCTGGTTCAGTGTGACCTTAATCATCATTCGCGCCCACTGAAAGCTTGGAGTTTAACAGAACTGGTGTTTGAGACTTTGGTCCTTCTTCAGAACACATAATGAAAACGTTCCAGCGACCAGGCAGATTCAGGGGTTTCTATCTTTCTTTTAATGTGCTGAACGTTCCTGGCCCCTTGTTCACAACCTTCGCGACACAGATCCTTTGGATTAAATGCATCACCTGCCTCGCTTCTAAGAATAAGATTTTAAGCTTATCAGTTTAATCAGGCTTGGTCAGTCGATTTCCATTTGTAACCCACGGAATTTAATAAAAAGTGCCAATTAAAGACTATCTGGAGATTTTAATAAACAGATATGAGGACCAGTTTGTTAAACTCTCGGTGTTAGTAGGAAATAATTATTCGAGGGCTGTAGATTTGACTGTGTTTTAACACCAAAGCCTTCCTTAACACCAATATATTTTCCATCAACAAATCTGACCTTGAGACTTTGATTTACCAGGACAAGGACGATAGATGCTGCAACAGTCTGCACCAAGTTAACGGTTGCTGAGTCTGTTAACCCTATGGTTTCATCTGCCAACTAACTCTCAACCTCAAATGGTGGTGAGTACAAAGAAAGAGAGAACTGCCATCTTCGAGGTCCTCCAGACTTCCCAAATCGTTTAGTCAGTGAGTTACTGTTGAGCTGTAGTCACAGTTGTTATGCCAGCTGATACAGGCACCAATTTATACACAGCAAGATGCCATGAATCGCAATGCGAGGATTTTTCATGGTGTTAGTGAGGAATAGACATCAGCTGGAACAAGGAGAGATCTCTGCTAGTTTTCCCAGAATCGTACTGTTAAATCCTTGTTCACTTGAACAGGAAGACTATGCCTCAGTTTAACCTGGTGTTTAAAATAATGGATTTCTACCGATAAAGCTGCATTCAATTAGCACTCCACTGAACCCTAAGACTGCATGCGCAACTGCTCTGCTGAGTATATTATACTGAAAATTGCCTTGTGCATTTTGTGTACTCAACCTGACACAACCATACATACATGTATCAGCAGAGGGAGTCTGCTACGCATAGAAAAACTAATTTAAAAGAGGATCCATGTTTAATAGTTTGTTCAATCAACTTCTAACTGTCTGAGACCAAACATAGAATGTGTTCTGTCCCAAGATAGTGGGGTTTTGCTGTCATACTTCTCTCTAGTGGTCTGTAGGCATCATCCAATCACACATTAGGCTTGTTTTTTTTTTAATTCCAGAATTTTTTTAAAAATGAATTCAATTCAAATTTTAACTGAATTTCAATTTCACCATTAGCAGTTTTGAAACCTGGTGCTCTGGATCACCAGCTCAGTGACATTGCCACTACACCAACACCACTATCTCCCCTTGGTGAAGTTAACTTGAAATAACTCCACAGTGGCTGGTCAAAATCACCCTTTATTAACATGTGCCTAGTACTTGACACTGGTTTGGCTTCCTCAGAGCCAACTCCGAATGAACAGGATGTCTGACACTCCGAGACAACAAGGTGCAGGGCTGGATGAACACAGCAGGCCAAGCAGCATCATAGGAGCAGAGAGGCTGACGTTTCGCGCCTAGACCCTTCCTACTTTGTCTGACACTCCTGCTTATTTTTCTTCTTTTCTTTCATTTTTACTTTTTATAGAAGTTTATAAAATCATGAGAGGCATAGATGAGGTAAATAATAAAGGTTTTTTCCCCAGAGTAGAGGAGTCCAAATTAGAGGGCATAGGTTTAAGGTGAGCGGACGGGAAAGATTTAAAAGGGATCACTTTTTCACACAGAGGGTGGCGCATATCTGAAACGAGGTGCCAAAGGAAGTAGTAGAGGCTAGTACTGAAATATCTCCACACAGGTAGGTATCCTGTCACCAAATCATCCTTTATTTACACATGCATAGCAGCTGACACTGGTCCATCTTCCTCAGAGCCAGCTCTCAGAGTGAATAGAATCCCTGACACTCTTGCTTATTCCATATTTCCATCACCAAGAACAAAACACTCATGTGACCAGTGAACTATTAACAAGAAAAGCCTGATGAGGGCAAAACTTCTGTTTATTCTTTTTTCTGAGAAGATCCTAAATCCCTGTGACTTTTTTTGTTTATTTTTGTTCTAAATCCACTGTTTATATATTTTTTCTTCTCCGTTTGTTCCTACACTGCAATGTAGCAGTAGTATTTATTTTCCTCCACAGTACCTGTGTTTTGTGTGTGTGTATGTGTGTGAGTGAGTGCAGGGACTCAGTGAAAGCACCATTTGTGAAAATAAATTTATTCAATATTTCTACCACCAGATAAAACACCCCTGTGGCCAGGGAACTATTAACAAGCAAAGCCCGATGAAGGCGACACTCCTGTTTATATCTGTCTGCCAGGGCTCCCTGTTTGGACCCGGTTAACAGCTGCAATCAAGGAACTCATACACTTGGCTGACCTTGTTACAATTACTCCATCCCTCTCCTCCAAATCTGGAGACTTAGGTCTGTTCTTTCTCTTGAAGCCTCACCTGGAGCATTTTCACACTGGGTCTGATTCCTAGTCTTGGAAATGTGTGATGTGTACTGGGCCGTAGCCCGCCTCTAGCACCCGGAGTTGTCTTGGAAGAAATACAGCCTCTTCGGTTGGTAAAGGCATTGAGGCTGCAACATCTGCCTTGTGCATCTCAGACTCTGAGGTTTCTTCGACGCTAGACAGTGGGGGGAGAACCCATGGGTTCCGACAGTGTTTCCAGTTGTTCTGAGGGGCCAGGTACGTTTTGCTCCTGTCCTGTTTGCAAGTTTGCAGCTTTCATGTGGTCCATGTGCTTGTTCAGGACTGCCTCACCTACCCGAACCACTCTTGCTCTCCTTAATAAAATGCCATCCCCTACCGTGGTCTGGTCTCAATGGGTCAGAAGGGTTTCAGTTCTAGTCTTGATGGCCCTTTTGTTTACCCTATCACCACCAGTTGTTTTAGTTTTGCCAGGACCAGATCGTTTTGTGTCCACAGTCTGATATTGTCAGCAGTGGCTGGGAGGGTGTCTAGAAAGTTTAAAATTGCAACGGACTCCTCCATTGGTGGCACATCAGTCATCTGTCTGCTAGCACAGACAGTGTTCCAACTTATAACCATACGCACTTAGAATGAGAGTACATCGCTGAATTCGACTTGAGGCTATGGGACTTTATGGTACTTCACGGGACCTGACCTTTGGGTTGACCATGCCTCTTACTCATGCAGGGCTATTTCTGTAGTTCTGCCACCAAACGTCATTCCCTGAAGTGAACTGTCTCTCACTTAGAGGAGTCTTGTGTCCCGTATTGGCGTTCCTGATGCCATTCCCCCAACCCTACTTTGTTCCAGAAAGTTCAGTTTTAACTGGTGCAGAGTCTTCTTCCCATTAGCAACTCTGCTGGAGCTATCCCTGTAGTTGCATGAGGGGTGGTCAGATTCATCAAATAGGAACCGGGACAGTTTGGTATTGAGTGAAGATGTAGTCTGTTTCTTTAAGCATGCCTTCAAAGTTTGGACTGCTCTTACTGCCAGACCATTGGACAATGGATAGTATGGAGCTGACGTAGATGCCGAATGCCATTCGGCTTTGGGAAATACTTGAATTCCGTGCTGGTAAATGCTGGCCCATTGTCTGTGACCAACACTTCCGGGAGTCAGTATATTGCAAAAGATGCTTATAGCTTTTCTACTGTCATTTCCATGTTTGATGAATGAACTCTATGCATGTCCAACCACTTTGTGGGCATCCTCGATGACTGAGAATGTTGGACACAAAAAAGGACTCATAGTCGACATGTAACTGAGCCCAAGGTTTACCTGGCCATTCCCACGAATGTGGGGGATCCGCTGGCAGTACTTTTCATACCAAAACGTCAGCTTTCCTGCTCCTCTGATGCTGCCTGGCCTGCTGTGTTCCTGCAGGTCCACACCTTGTTATCTCAGACTCCAGCATCGGCACTTCCTATTATCTCTGACCATTTAGCTAGACGTTTATTTTGATTGGTTTTGGTTTGAATGTTGCTAAGCAATTTAAATGTTCCAAGCCAGATATATGTGGGATTTCCAGTGTGTGCACTCTCCTGGATACCAGCCTATAAGTCCTGTTACTCAGTTTAGGTCACATGGGACACTTCTGCTGTCTCACCTCTGCATACCAACACCAACTATAATGGCTTGCCAGCGTGGATCCCAAGGCTTGGCTTTATTTTAGGGTTTTGCTGTGGGCTAACCTAGATATGTCCGAAGTGAGGCTATACAATTACCTTCACTCAGGTAGTGTCCCCAAGCTCAGTCAGCCTGTGGAGGGTGTCCACTTCCATTGGTATACCCTGGAACTAATATGCTCCTCTAATTCCATTTTCTAATGACAAAGCCAATTGTAGTGACTATTCAAAATCCAGTTGGGCTCCAGTTAGTTGGTCCTTTTCTAAGGTTACATCATTGATCCCACATATCAAATGGTCTCTCAACATCTCATTAAGGGTTAAACCAAAGACACATGTGTCTGCCAGTTGTCGTAACCTCATCAAAAATCCCAATATGGATTCCCCTGGCTCTCAAACTGCTGAATAAAACCGATAGCATCTCAATTAGAGGAGGCTTGAGGTTGTAATATTCATTAAATAAACCCATCAACTATTGAAAGGCTTTAGTATCAGATGTCTCGGGAAATGTTGGGCTCTTAATAATCAAAAAATATGTGGGTCCATAAGCTATCTGGTGAATTACATGTTTTTTGTCTATCCCAATATCTTTTGCTCAGAAAAAAATAACACATACTTTCCACTTACTGGGCTCAGTCTTTGATAACAGCATCAAATGAGTCAAACTTCCCAAATAATGGCATGATGCCAGAAATGCTGACCCCAACTCAAAGATGAATGTTGCCAGCAA